CTATTACATAATGTGTGTTTCTATTTTGGCCTACTCTTTCCTACCAATTTTAGCTAATGCCGGTTGCCTACATTTATAAACATGCCCGCATGCCAATTCCTCCAACTGAATTTTTCCATAGGAAGTTTTGTTTTTTTGAAATTATGATGTATCGATAAAAATAAATAAATAAATAGTAAAAGAAAAGAATTAAAAAATAAAATAAAATACAAGTTTTTTTTTTCCCTCTCATGAGTGCCAAACGTCTAAGTGATTTACCACTAAATGTTACTTTTTGAACAATTGATTTTAAAATAAAGAAAATCTTATTGCATTTTGCCCAATTTCCTTTAATGAAGTCACAGTCTCCTTTCTCTCAGGAAAAAAAAAAGGAGATTTAATGACACAGCAAATGATAACATGCAATCAATCTTCCCATACGACTCCGGGGCAGGGAGATGTGTCCCTCTGGGGAGCCAGTGGGACCTTCATGTTGGTCACAGGCCTGCAGCCCAGCTGGCACATCACCCACTGTGACGCTGCGTTGACTGACTACTGTCCCACCGCTGCTTCTGGTTCTCTCTTTTTTTTATTGATGCATAATATTATATTTTACATGTTTATGGGATACATGTGAGTATTTTATACATGCATAGAAAGTGTAATAATCATGGGGTACCCATCACCTTGAGAATTTATCATTTCTATGTGTCGAGAAGATTTCAAGTTCAGGACAAAGTGATGAAGAAAGTCAGGAAATGCAGCTTGATTAAGCCATTAGTACAATATACGTGGGAGGAAGAGAGATGTGAGTGTTGTTTTCTGTCCTGTTTTCTTGATTTCCTTTACGTATGTTCAAATAACTTAGGAAATCTGGCCATTTAGGCTTTAGCTGTGTCCTGAAACTTTGCAAGCAGTGAGGGAATTATGGAGGGAAACCTAAGAGGTTTAGATTAGCACTTTATGGTCACCTAAAGTTTATGTTGTTTTATCTAATGCCTAATGGTATTATTATCTAATAGAACTGGAAATAGAGTGGGAGTTTTAAAAAATAGTTGTGGCTAACATGTTTTGTTTTTGTGGATGCTTTATTTAACAACTTTAACTCACTAATACTGCTAATGCATTGCAAATTTTGTGTAGGAAGCTTGTAATCTTTTTAATAGTGTCATTTTTTAACTTGAGTCTTTTTCCTAAGTCTTCATACTGAGAATGAACCTTGTAGTTGTGCATCTACTTACATTAAAGAGTACTCACTATACAGTGCTATGTGTTGGTCTCAATTTGAACTAGAAAATAACTAAGATATAACTGGTTGAGGTCAATCATTAAGCATCAGCAACACATAAATAAGGAATGTGAACAAATCATTTATTTGACAATTCAGACAAAAATATTAGGATATTTATACAAATATAAGAATAGACCAACTTAGGCAATTCCTTATATATTCTCTGTGTGAATGTTAGCTTTCAAGAGAGGCAGACAAACTGGATCATGGCTAATCATGTCACGGGATGCTCATTAGTCTGTGTTCACTTCAGCTAGAGTGGATGTTAACGGAGAAGGATTATTGGTGTTGCTATATGATCACTTCAAACTTCCTGCTGGTATTGATCAGGCTTTCTAAAACATACAATTTAATATTTGCACTTTGGGTCCCATCACCTTAAGATTTTGATCACCAAACTATATTTTCTCTATCTGTTAATCTGCTCAGATTTAATATATTTTTTTTAATTTTTAAGAGCCTCTAATGGATGAATATTGTAGTTGATCTTGATTGGGTAAAGTCATAAGAATAGTTAAAGTTGTGTCATCATCATTAAAACTGAATGCTTAGCTCAACATTATTTTGGCTTATTATTGAAGAAGATACATGAACTAAAACATTTCTGGAATCAAATGAAAGCTTCTAGCATTGGCAGGGGCAACCAGTGAATAAATTCCTAATTACTTGCTTCGCTTCTGACAGGGGTATCTCTGAAATACTACAGAAATGACCATTTGGCAACTGTCATTGCCATTGGCAGGTCATCAGACAAAAATTATTATCATTAATTTTGGTGTTGTTAAATTTATCTCCTCCCAATAGTTGGAAGTCTTTGAGCAGGTAATATAACTAGCATAGCAAAAGTAGTCCCTCTTTCTTTCTCTTTACTCCAAATATGTGGCCAATAATTAAGTCTCAGAGACTTCACAGTCATTATCAGTAGTTGAGATTTTCAAAGTATGGTATGAAATAAAAAGAATACTAATATTTTAAGCACCAACGAATATGATCAATACTGTGCAAACTACAATTCATAATAGCAAGGCTGTGGAAACAGCCCAAGTGCCCATCAATCCAAGAATGGATTAATAAAATGTGGTATATGTATACCATGGAGTACTATTCAGCTCTAAGAAACAATGGTGATATAGCACATCTTATATTTTCCTGGTTAGAGCTGGAACCCATATTATTAAGTGAAGTTTCCCAAGAATGGAAAAACAAGCACCACATATACTCACCAGCAAATTGGTATTAACTGAACAGCACCTAAGTGGTCACATAGGTACTACAGTAATAGGGTATTGGGCAGGGGGGGAAGGGGGAGGGGGCGGGTATATACATATATAATGAGTGAGATGTGCACCATCTGGGGGATGGTCATGCTGGAGACTCAGACTTGTGGGGGGAGGAGGGGAAATGGGCATTTATTGAAACCTTAAAATCTGTACCCCCATAATATGCTGAAATAAAAAAAAATACTGTGCAAACTTTATCATGAAGAGTCAAGAACTCCCATCCTAGTAATCTTATGACAAGATTGTATTTATTATTTTTTTATTTCTATTTAATAAGAACTAAATTGTTTAGCAAAATGCATGGGAAAGCAATATATGGGAACTCATTCTATTTAGACAAAGGCAGAAGATAAGCAATCTTCTATTTGCCTTAAAAGTCAAAAAAAATAAGGTATGTTATACATGCCTCAGGAAACCTCACTACATACCATGAAATGAGCATTTTCTCTAATTTTTGATGAAGTTTAACTCTTTAAAGAGTTTATATGCATCTTTCAATTATACTCAAAGGAAATTAATTGGATTACAGTTTTTAAACAATGTTTTCTCATCTGATAATCCTGAAGATATCTTCAGAGTAACCCTAGAACTACTTCTACCCTTAAGAATTTGTTTTGTTCCTCTCCGCACTGCTTCCGGAATAGAATTTTATGGTTGATAATACATTAAAGATGTGAATAGAGAAAAGTAGAGATATTTGTACGTTTTAAGTGAGGATTTGTCGCTCCTCTACAATCTCTTAAATTTTTAGGTATCCTTCTTTTTTTTGAACACTTTTACTAAAAGGTAACTCATTATCCACCACACTCCTGCTCTTTGTCTTACAGGGAATCACCATTGGGTCTAATGACTTCAATAAATATTTAACTTTCTCTAAGATAAGATTGAAGACAAATTTCTAGAAGCTTGATTCTAGGATCTTAGTGTGATTTCAGTGAGTTCATATCTCTAGAAATTATAAATGCAGCATGGAACTAGAAGGCTCCGTTGTTGCCATGTGGAAGTTATATAAAAATTATACCTAGCATTTATTGAGCACTTACAGTGGGAAAGGGACTATTCTAGGCAGTTTTCAATTCATTTTAATCCTCAAAACAACTCAGTGATACAGGTATTATTATCCCTATTTTATAGGTGAAGAAACTGAGGCACAGAAAAGCTAACAAGAGAGCCCTAGGTCCCAGATATAACAAGTAGCAAAACTAGGATTTGAACCCAGACAGGCTATTACAGAGCATATATTATTAACCACTGTGACATTACTTCCGGAAATTGAATAGTATGATGTTTTAAAAATAACTTACACATTCCCAAATAATTCCTTATAGATATGATAGTATTCACAAAATGCATGCCTATCACTATAAGCATTCTAAGAGTGAAATAAAATGCTTATAACATTTCCTATTTACATTTACCAAACCCAGGCAAGCACATTTGTATAAGGCTTAAAAGGGGATTTTAAGCTTTTAAATTTAAATGTTTTGTTTTAAAATATATTTGTTCATATTTTTCTGATTTTTAATAAAATTCTTATCAAAGTCTCCATCTAGTCTCTTCCTCAGGGACATTGATGGATTTGCTAATGAATTATAAATTACATTATACAATGTAAGTGCTAATTATTAAGCTACCTTACATATGATATTATCTATGTAATACATAGTGATATTGATTTTTCAAATGATTTAAGTTCCTTTTTTCCTCCAGCTTTTTGGAGGTATAATTGACAAATAAAAATTGTATATATTTAAGATGTATAATACTATGATTCGATATATGCATACATTGTGAATTGGTTACCACAATCAAGCTAATTAACACATTATTCACCTTACATAGTTACCATTTGTGTGTATATGTATATATGTGTTGAGAATAGTTAAAATCTATCCTGTTATCAAATTTCAAGTATAATACAATATCATTAACTATGGTCACCATGTATATGCTACATATTTTTACTTTTAGTAAAGAAATTTATTCTAAACCTTTAAAGCAATCACATTGTTATTCTGGCATTAACTTTATTTAGATTGAGAAACATTTTTAATTGCTACCCATTCCTGAACAAATAAGCATTAGTTTGGGAGAAATGGTACCATCTTACCTTTTTGATCTCATGTTGTTAAAATCTTTGAAAATACTTAGATATATAAAAAAAAAATCTTTGATATATTTTGGGTGACAATGAGTTGGAACCCTGCTAGGTAAGTGAGATATCTGAGATCCTAACCAACACTTTCAGCTTCATTCATAAAGACTTTTGTGTACATGGGCACACGATTTTTAGTTTTTTTAATAATCAATCTCTTTACAGGGTGAAACTTAACTTTAAAACCACATCAAGTGAAGAAAGTGTGTAACGTCTACAACTGTTATTAAAATGTTATCATCTTATAGGTGGGGAACTATAGAAGTTGATTTTTTTTTAATTTTTGTTTTTATAGATGTTCGAAGAAGAACAATTTATGAATACCACCGAGTAGAATTACAAATGTCAAAAATCACCAACATTTCAGCTGTGGAGATGACCCCGTTACCAAGTAAGTTAATATGTGAACATGGGCGGAAAAAAATGATTTGCAAGTTTGATGATCTGATCTGTTCAATAATTATAATTATAATAATTGTGATAATTATCATTATAACTGTGTTTGGCATTCAAGAATATTTTGATCCTGAGTATATATGGGGAACTAATGGTGATTTTTATTTTGGTTGAGCAATCTTTTTTTTCTCCCAAGCTGCCAATTAGTCTTGACGAATCTATTCTCTTTTATTAATATTCTCTAGCATGTCTCCAGTTTAATGGCTGTGGCCCCTGCATATTCTCTCAGATTGGCTTCAACTGTAGTTGGTGTAGTAAACTTCAAAGGTAAACACATAATAGTAAAAGGAATTTTAAAAAGACTTGTTGCTTCTACTGTCCCATTGAATTTAAATGTATGTCAACTGTGGAGATTGTGTGTGCATTAACAAGTGTATGTATGTAAAAAATATGTATATATTATACCATGACCAAAATGCAAAAGTATATATATGTGTATGCTCAGAAGTGAAGATTTCAGTATTTTCCTTTGTCTATATGCTCAAAATTACTAAGAGCCTTTGCAGTTGATTAGATCATAAACTGCCATATATTTACAATTCTCATGGGCTTAAGATATATGGTAATTATAGTTGATGAGTCTATAAATTGATGATTTTGGTCCATATTCTATAGAAACTATGGAATGAGATATCTTTTTCATAGCAAGGATGGTTTATAATAATCACATGCACATTCTTCGTAAGTTCCCATACAATATCTTTAAGGATATTAGTCAAGATTAGAGGTGTCATCTGAGGCTGACACAACCTGCCCTCAATAGAAATTGACCATGTGGTTTTGGCTCCATGTTATAATTAACTGACTTTGAAACTTAAGCTGCATAATTTGCTGGTATCAAAGAGATTTAATGATTTTCTGAGTGGCAAAGAGAATTGTTCAATTTCTTTTTTTTTTCTTTTTTAAAATTTTAATAGATTTAGCGGGTGGGTACAAGTGATTTTTTTTCACACATGGATAAATTGTATTGTGGTGAAGTTAGGGCTTTTAGTTTACCTGTCACACAAATAATATACATTATACCAGATAGGTAATTTTTGATCCTTCAGCCACCTTCCCTACTTTCCCTTCTAAGTTGTTCAGTTTGTAGAGTTTTCCAGAGACTGAATAATCATTTGTTGGAAATGTAGGATGACGACATAAATTTATTTTGTTATTTACTCAACAACACTTTTGTGCATCAATTATGTCCCAGGGGCTAGAAACGCAGCAGTGAAGAATATAGACTTGGTCCCTTCCTCCCATGGAGTTTACAGTCTGTCCAGTAATAAGTCACCTTCTCACCTTCAGAGTCTATGAAAAATCTGCTTCCTCCCCCAGGTGGAAAAGCAAATATTCACGCTGTTAGTGAGCGAATGTTGCACCAGGGCTTTCGGTTATATAAGCAGTCTGTGTCTTATCATCTTCCGGCTGCAGTATTTGCCATGATGATAAAGGCATGTTCCAGGGACACTTTAAAAGTTATTGAAGGATAAAAAATAGAAGGCCAATTCTTTGATAAAAAGCTTTAGGAAACATTGTTAACTCACTAACTTTGGGGCAACCACTGCAGTGTTGTAGCTAGATCAATATTCTTTATAACAACCTCTGTTTTGTTTTCAATCTAATATGTTGTTCCAGTCATTTCCTTTGTGAAATGAGTTCCAAATAATAAAAAAAAGCAAGAAGGCAGTTTGCATTTTTAAAAGTAGATTTTCACTTAGTTCTATATCCCAGAGCGAGAGGGATTGCTATAATATCAAGGGTTTATGGTTATTTATATTTATATTTTGCTAAGATAACATAAAGATTATATGTATTTCAGAAGTTATTCAAAATCTATTTAAATAACAACATATAAGAAAATCGAAAGAGATGGCATTTTAATATGCATATTTAAACAATACTGAGCTTGGAAATGAGAAATGTCCAAAAGAATTAAGTAGAAGGCCCTGGTGTTAGCTGCATACCTGCTTCAAGATCCAGTTCAGTGGTCACCTTGTCTGAGTCCCTCTGTGGTGCCCATCTCCCATGTTTCCCAGCATCCTGGGCAAACTGCCATCATTAGCATTTGGTTTGGGGCTTAAGGAAGCTTGTTCGTTTGTCTGTTTCCTTTGCTAGGCTCTAAGTTTATTAAAGGCAAGGACCATATCCAATTTGTTCTTACATCTCCAGAGCCTAAGAATGTACCTGGTACTGCAAAAAAATGAATGAACAAATGAGAAATGATTAGGTTCCTAATGAAGGAATCATAATTAGGTTTGTCTGGGACTGGAGGGTTTCCCAATATGAGAGACTTCCCATGCTAAAACCAGGAAAGTCCAGGGAAAACCAGGACCAGTTGACCACTTTACCCAGAGTATAATTAGGATAGTTGTCAAATGAAACAGTATTACGGTAAAGGAAGGTTTTGGCGACTCATCTAGAAACGTACCTACCACTACCCATTTCATTTTTTAAAACGTATAGTTTTGGTGGAAATATGTATTAAAATTTCCAAACAAGCAATTTTAGCAACCAAAACATATCCATCCACAAGTTGGAATCTGCTTCTAGTGTTCAGTACTTCCATTTTATTGAGGGATGTCTCTGCCAGACATTGTGCCAAGGAATTTCAAGTATCACCCTTGAGAACATTGCCACAGTGGAGGAAACTGAGGTTTATAGGAGCTGAGTTATTGATATTTGTGCAGGGTCTCACAGCTCTTAAATGATAAATTTGGACTTAAACATCGCTCTTTGTGACTCCCAGCTTTAGGTTTTGATAATCTCACTCATTCTGCCTCCCACCTGCCAGGCTGCCAGTGCAGTAAGCAAACTAACCTTCCATTACTTTCTGAAAAATTGTGGATACGCTGTTGAAAAACAAATCTTTTTTATACTTCGTTCTGCAAGAACATACCATCGTTTTGAAATTGGCTTAACAAGACTATAGAGGAGAATCCAACAAAGCCTAAGACTTTTGCATATTTTTGAAAGTCTAGTTTCTTAAGATTAATGGAGAAAAGAAAGGTGGCGAGGCACATGACTGGGGAAGGAATTCATCAAAGAACACTACTTTTAAAACTATGAGTTTTCTGCAAATTACTGTTTGGTGTTTTGTTGAATACCAAACACTCATTTCAATCTTGGATTTACTTTTAATTCTTCAGCAACCTAGTTATATACATATCAAAACCTGTTTAATTAATTGGTTTAACCATGCCTCGTTGCACTTTTGTTCAACTTAATTTCCCCACTGCATTTTATTAATTTCTCCTTAGACCTGTAAGCTTCAAAACTTTTGCTTTTTTACCCAGCATCTTTTCCCCAGACTTTTAGAGCATTTATGAACAAATTCAACAAAACAAGAGAAGTCTTATCCTAAGCAGCACAGTAAATGCCCCTCGGATTTTTTTTTCTTCCATCATTCTTACTTTCTTCTTTGTGTGCATTTATCCTTGAGTGATAATCAGTGGTGGTAATTACCAAACTCTCAAGTTGGACTTGCTCTAAAAAAGATAAGATAATTTTTAATTGGTTTGTTTGTTTCCTTTAAGTCCCATTTTTCAGGAAGCGAAAACTAAGGCAAAATGTTCATAATGGCTTGCAGAATTGGTCTAACAGAATTGGAGTTACAGGAACAAACACATAAGGAGATTCATGATCGAAAGTGCTTACTTAAGATACTTAGCCCATTTCTTTCACCTAAGAGTGCTTTGTTTCCTCACTGCAAATTGAGAAGACCCAAATCAATCATTTTCAACTATATCTTATATTTTCACTTATGCAATAAAAATTTTTGAGTGTCTGTGTTCAAGTTACTATTCAAGATTGTGCCTGCAATGGTGAAAAAGACAAACAAAATCACTTCCCTAATACAGCCTACATTTTAAGAATGGGGAGATAGATTTTAAGCAAATAGATATACAGAAAATGAGTTCATAGTGATGAATGCTATGGTAAGAGAAATAAACAGGGCATTTAAGGGAAAATGTAGCAAAATTAATAAGAATAACAGAAGTTTACTTGTTGGTATCATTTTAAAGCAACCTTGTCCTTTTGAAGAGATCTTGGTTTGATCAGCCATTATCATCCAAGTTTATTGTTTAAATGAAAATTGTTTTGCTTTTATAGTATTCATTCATTCATTTGTTTACTTAACAATATATCGAATACCTACCACCTAGCAGGCACTGATCTAAACACTAGGGCAGTTAGAACAATCATCAAGTATTAATCAAAGCCACAGGTCTTATGGTTAGAGAGTCACAGCTTAGAGTTTAGCTTAGTAAACTAGAAAATGAATGAATTAATAATTAAACAAAGAATATCAGATGGCAATGAGTGGTCTGCTGAATTTGAAAGAACCAGGAGATACTGTGGGTGGGGTGGCCAGGAAAGGCTTCTCGAGGAGGTGACAATTAAACTGAGATCTGAATGACAGGAAGCAGCTACTCCAAAGTGAAGGCAAAGATATTTCAAAGGGAAGGACAAGTGCAATGCCCCCACAGTGGTTTCAAGCTTGGTCTGATGAGGAATCGACAGAACCCAGTGAGTTGGGAGCATTCTGTGCTGGGCATGGAGGGAGGGTGGTATCAGATGAGGTCAGAAGGGAACTAAGTGCTGGGACACAGGTGGCTCTGTAAGCCAAGGAGGGTTTTATTCTCAGGATAATGGGAAGCCTTTAGATTTTAGAACTTGTGTAGAAAAGTGATGTGATTTTATTATATTTTTAAAATGGAACTCTGGCTGCTTCAAGGAAAATAGAGTGTTTGTTTGTTTGTTTGTTTGTTTGTTTGTTTGTTTGTTTGTTTGTGGAATGGGCCAGAATGCAAAGGAAGAGAATAGTAGAAAGTATGTGCAGTAGTCTATAGGAGGGATGATAATTGGCAAGGATGATAATTATCGAGATTGGGAGAGATGAATGAATGCAAGCTGTGTTTTAGAAAGAGACAAATTATTTGCTGATGGACTAGAAGTGAAGGAGAGGAAAAGATAAGAATCAAGGATATATCTTAGATTTTTGTTTCAGCAACTTGGTGGTTGGTGGTACTCTTTTTTTTTTTTTTTTTTTTTTGAGATAGGTAAGTTGGATCAAAAACCAGAGGCTAAGGTTCAGAGAAATAAAGCTCAGTTTGGGACAAGTTAATTCTGAGACACATATCAGACATCAAGTGGAAATGTTGAGTAGGTAGGGATACATACGCTAGAAATTTCAGAAAGGGGTTAGGGGTAGAGGTTCAGATTGGAGAGTCATTACCATACAGATAATGTTTACATTCATGGCACTGAATGAGCTCAGCCAT